TTACAAGCACACCTACTTACCCTACATACGTAGTTGCTCTTGCCTACAGCGGCAGATGGGGTAAAAGTCTGTGACCTTTTGATGACTGGGATCCCAGGCTTGGGTTCCGCGCCCTCGACCCTGGGAGGTGCGAGGGAGGAACGCGACCCTGCTAAGCTGGCTGACAGAGGCATAAACATGCACTCGGTATTTGTCTCCTTGTCAGCCATTTCGACCAGCTGATCAGTAGAGTCTCCCTCCACTGCTGTGTCCTCCTGTGCAAGCGTGCAACATTGCCAAAATGAGCACAACAATCATGCAAACAGTGCAGCCAGTGCTTAAAAAGCTATCACCAAATCAAGGTGAACAACAATGTAGATAGATCTTATGGGTACATTTTTTTTCTCTTTCTTTTAATTATCAATCTGAACTCCTATAAAGACAGTGCATTATTTTGTCTCTGCCTATAATTAATTAACATTTATAATCCATAGAGGCTCTTGAGTTAAGCTTGAAAAGCATAAAAACTTAAAATTGAAAAAATATCATTTCATGCATATATTTTAAGTAAAATAAATTATCATATCTACTAACATATTGCAAATACACTGATATTTGATTCAAGCTAAAAAGCATATGAAGTTCAACAAAATATTATCACATGCAGATGAATAGAAGGCACAATTAAAGAACCTAACACACAATGAATTATTTACCATAGAGTTTTAAAATATGTATGTATATATAAAGGATAGGAATCATTCAAAATATAAACACACAGCAATAAAAAGAAAATAAGTGACCATCTAGAAAATACAGACTTTGGTACCTATAAATCTAAAAAAAGAAGAAAAAAAAGAGGAAAGGACTCAAAACACACCACATACAACAATAACACCAACAAATATAACAGGGAAAACAGCATAAGCAAATCTTTAAAGAACGCACCAAACAAAACTCTGTTTCTTACCGCATTCTCAAGTGCCTCTTCCATGGCTTCCTCCTGCTCTTCTTCGGGCTCTTCCTCCTCCTCCTCCTCTTCATCATCCTCATCGGAATCAATTGCATTCTCAAAGTCCTCGGAGGGAAGGTGGAAGTTCAGCCGGAGTGACTCTGGTCCCAGGTTGCGAGTCAGGGTGGAGGTCTGGGAGGAGATGATTGTCGACTCATCACTGCTCTCCTCCTATAACATGGGAGAGAGGGAAATTGTGTGTAAACTTGGAATAAACCGAGACAGCATTATGTCAAAACAAGACATGTGTAATACCTATATAGGATTCAAAGATGAAGGATCAAAGCTTAGTATTTCTTTAAATAATCTACGTTTGACAATCTCATTTACCTTCACATTTGATGTAGATACAGAAGAGCGAAGAGTTGAAGATTTTGATGAGAGGTCATCTCGAGTCAAGTGGTCTGGTCTCAACAAGGCAAAGTTCAAAATATTATACCAGCGAGTTTGTGGAGTATCTAAGGAGAAGTCGGCTAAGCTTATTTGAGCATACCCCTGTAACAAGAAAACACATGACATCTTAATGATTTATAAAACATAGGACTTATGCACAGGAATATCATAAACTGCATATTTTCTCAATAAAGCTGAAACAGCCAAAATATTACATACAATATTGTACTCATACAACCATGTATAGGGACACAAATATTGATCATTAGCTAAAAATCAAAGAAGAAAACAAAACAATACATAGATCATCCCGATAGAAGGACAGGAAATGTAACATAACTCACCACACACTCTTCATCAAAGGTGTCATTTGTATCACTAACAGCCCACACATTCACTTGCAGAGTCTTGGAAGGAAGCTTGCGAGGGGCAACAGGAAATGCAAAGGATTCACCAAAGGTTGGCCTCTCAGTATTACTATCTAAATGTGTACAGCAGGTGAATGTTGCAGTACCTGCTGGGAACAGCTGCACCTTGACACATCTGTAATGTATTTTTATATTTAAAACAATGATACACATTTTGTTTTCTTTTACATAGCATCTGCTAATCCTACCTGATCTTGTAACTGGCAGTCTAAACAAATTGTATATATATATATATATATATATATATATATATATATATATATATATATATATATATATATGTATATATGTATATATGTATATATGTATATATGTATACATGTATACATGTATACATGTATACATGTATACATGCATACATGTATACATGTATACATGTATACATGTATACATGTATACATGTATACATGTATACATGTATACATGTATACATGTATACATGTATACATGTATGTATGTATGTATGTATGTAGGTAGGTAGGTAGGTATATGCATGTGTGTGTTTAATAATTATGATAGTTTCACCATGAGGGACTCAAGAGGACTCCTGGTTTTTACTAATTTTTCTTCAAGAACTTCATATGTGCACCACAATCTACACAATCAAATAATTCCCCTATGACAAGTGGAACACTCAAAAAATAAAAATAAAGAGAAAACATGGCAACAGTGGAGTGGATGTGATAAATGTAAAGTGACAAAAGGGAGGAGCAATTAAATGTTTGAATCACATTCAAAAAGTTTGCTCATATCTAAGGAGTCATGTCCATAGAGGAACATGCACAGCCACAGGATGATAAGGTAAGGTGGCTAGTTCCCTTCCATCTTGAGCATGAGGCTAGTACTCACTCGCAGCTGAGCTGACTGTGAGGATCTGCCTGGGTATGAATCTAAGACCTAGCAATTGCAAAGCCAGCACACTACCACTGTGACATGCAACCTTCATTTGAATTACATTTCTCACTTGCAATCAGAAGGCCCTGTTATATAATTTCTATAGCCTGTTTATTCAAAGTTCTTTGTGGCATGTAGAAAAATATATAGATAAAGCAGTGATGTAACACATAATTCAGCTAAATCTTCTAATTCTGATGAAGATCTTTTCACGCCAATGAACTGCATCTCTTGCATTATGAAGTTACCATTTTTCATTGTCACTGACTTTTTTAGCATATACTTATTATATCACTTGAATTATAATGATTTCTGAACACATGTAATAACTGTTTGTCTCTACCTTGCTTCCCTTCAGAGCAGCTAGTACTCCAACTTGCTGCAGCATTTAGTCAGGTTTGCTGAAAAGAGCAAATCTTGCAAACCACCACTTGTTTCAGCATGTTCACATCACCCAGCCCTCAAGCCAAACTTTTTTCATAATGTGACGGTCACATCATCCGGCTCATAGAGACTCATTTACAGAACTTTGACATTATCCTCTTGGATCTGGGCGTTAGGCTGCACACATGTGGGCCATAATCTGGGCATTATGCTTACTTGAGTGGCTGCTCTGCCAGCTGTGTGCCATGGTGGGCAGGAATAGAATCATGTCATTTCTGTCACCCTGGCCTTCAGCTGAAACTCTCATGATGGCAAGTTCCCTCACCCCGGCCCTCATCCAAATTTTTCCATAATGGGATATTCACATCAACTACCCCTCAAGCCAAAATTTTTCATGACGTGACAGTCACGTCATCCAGATCATAGGGCTTAATACAACCAGAAACAATTGGTTGCATGACAATCATTCATATGCAAATTAAAGTACAATAAATTCATCAAGCCACTTCGTAATACCCTTTTCATGCACAGTATGTTGTCAAAATTGAAAGAGAAAAAAAATGTAAAATAAAAAAATTTCCAATCACCTCCTATCTGTTATAGATGTGATTCCCCTAAAAACATATCAGTTACGACAAAACCAGGAGCTTTATAAGACAGGATTCACTTTTGATATTCATACCCTAATTCACACAAATCTGTACCTAATATGACAAAAAATCAACAAACTTTCAAGTGTAAGGTACTGATGATCTTGAGTTAAAACCAAAGGATCCTTTTAAGAAAATCATCAAAAATAAATCTTATCATGTTATGACAAACAGGATAACTCTAAAGCTCTATTCGTCTGTCAATTATTCTCAAAAACCTTGACATACAAATAAAACCTTTGTGAACTTATGGAGCAGTGATTCCTGAAAATGTGGTCCAGACTTATTCATCAGGACAATAAGAATAGATGGTTTGGTCTTCAATCCATCAAATATATAAAGGGCAATAAATACAACTCTTTGCAGATATATCAAGTTAATTCACTATAAAATCTCTATTTCTATAACTAGTTTCTGAATTTCATAACTTTTGTGAAGCTCAGAAAGCTTGGGACAAATTATTTAGAGATCACTGCTCTAAGGCATAAATGGGAAAACTGCAAAACACAAGACGATATCAGAAATACAGCTGACTCTACTTACACTTTGCACCCTTCTTCTGTGTTCAGAAGTGACAAGTTCCGTGCTCTCTCCACACCCACATTGAGTTGGCTTTCCTGTCTGCTGTACCTATTAAGGATACAAAAAATTATTTCTAAAATTACTAAACTAAAATGTCTTTACTCATAATAGAATAGCATGTAATATAGAAACCTTTCAGATGGCAAGTTTAATATGCATAAAAAAAAACATTTTCAATGCATAATCCAATCTACAAATCTGCCAATACAGGTTGATAATTAATTTCATTTGGGTCAATCAGATCTTTACTTTCTACTTTGTATGCAGCGTTACTATAAACCACTAAAGTTTATCCCCATTCATGGTCCCAATGAATTGATAAATTCATTGATTAATTGACAAATTTGTGTTATAAAGATGCACCTGTTGCTGATCAATATATGAACATATGAAAATATGCAGATGGTTATAAGTCTGGAGCAATGAACAAGTGGAGGAGAAAAAAGTGATTTGAATGAGGAAGAAATAGCTGGAAGTCTCTATTAATAGGATAATTAAGTTGTGTGGGGCACTGGTCAATTATGATCAAGTCAAAGAAGAGCCAAGTAGAAGTGATGTACACATGGGGGAGCCAGGACCACCTGAGGAGACAGTGAGGAAGAGGGGAATGAATGTGGTGAGCAACAGTGGAACAGCCACACTGGGCATTATCAATTTTATAAGATGTTTAAGTTTTTCTGAATTTTCCAACCTAGAATTGTAATTTAGTGGATTAGGAACACTATTTTGACCTGGGTATCACCTACTTTCTTTTTAAAGAAAAATAATAATTTAAAGCAAATCTTCTAAGAATTCCCCTACATTTTATGAATACTTCAGGCAGAAAACTCTCCATTTGACTTATGGGTACTCAAATATCTATATATTATCACCACAGTTACTTCTCACTGGAAATGCATCAATGTTCCTTATGTCACTCGTAAGCATTATCAAGTGACAATTAGCAGCAGCAAGAAGATGAGCAGCCACTGGCCTAGGAAGGTAGCGGAGAAGCAGCTACAGGTGGTGGTGGCATCTTGCACCTAATGTCTATCTTCTTTTTTACTTATTGCATCTTCTTTCCTACTGTTTTCTAACTGCTGTATTGCACTATGCTAATAGACACCATCACCCCCCATCCCCCCCATACACACACAGCAAATATACATAGGAGCCCTCTCTTCAATCTTCCGTACTAGCCAAAGCCAGGACAAGATTGCAACACTGCGCTATAATATTGGTATTGCCACACTGCATTACATGTGCCTAATTGAAAGCACTCGGCATGGGAAAGAGAAATACAATTTCTGACACCTAGTGACCATTGTGACGCCTTAACAAAATTAGCTCTCCAGGTCCCAGTGATGCAACAAAATTGGTGTTGACCTGTTTTACAATACTGTGCAACTAAGAAATAAAATATGCACTAATATATGAATATTTAAGACACAAAAACACACATGCACACCCCCTCCCCCCAACACACACATGCACCTCCCCCCAACACACACATGCACCTCCCCCCAACACACACATGCACCTCCCCCCAACACACACATGCACGCACATTTACACATCTGTGTAGATATACTTAAGAAATAATAGTAGTAATCATATTTCTATCTAGCTTGAATTGATTGAATTACTTTGTGCTCATATTATTGAAGGAGGAGAAGGAGGAGGAGGAGGAGGAGGAGGAAGGGAAAGTAGTAGTAGAGGAAGAAAAAGAAAGGGAAGAAAAATAGTAAGAATAAGAATAAGAAGACTACGGTGGAGGAGGAGGAGCAATAGGAGAAAGAGGGAAAAGGAGGAGGAAGGAGAAGAGGAAGAAGGAAAAAGTGAAGAGGAATATGAAGAAGAAGGAGAAAGAGAGGAAGGAGGAGGAAGGAGAAGGAGGAGGATGAAAAGAATCAAAATGAGAATAGGAATAAAAAAGGATAACAAGGAAGAAGAAGGGACGAGAGGAAGAGGAAGACGAAGAGGAGGAGGATGATAACGATGAAGGTCAAAAATGCAATAAAATGAATATGACAAGTAGGAGGAAGAGAAAAAAGAAAACTAAGAAAAGGAATAGATAGGAGGAGAAGGAAGAATAGGATGGGGACGATGAAGAAGAGGCAGAGAAGGAGGGGGAGGGAGAGAAAAAGGAGGAGAGGATATAGAATAAAAAGCCAAAAAAGAATATGAACAATGGAAGGAAGAGAAAGAAGAAAAACAGATCAAGAAGGATTAGATGGAGAAAGGGTGATGGCAGTGGAGGAGGATGAAGAGGAGGAGGAGGAGGAAGAAGAGGAGGTGGAGGAAGAGGAAGAAGAGGAAGAAGAGGAGGAGGAGGAGGAAGAAGAGGAGGTGGAGGAAGAGGAAGAAGAGGAGGAAGAGGAAGAAGAGGAAGAAGAGGAAAAAGAGGAAGAAGAGGAAGAAGAGAAGGAAGAGGAGGAGGAGAAGGAGAAGGAGGAGGAGGAGGAGGAAGATAAAGGGGAGAAATAGGAGGTGGAGGTGGAGGTGAAGCAGGATGAGAAGCAGAAGTAGAAGTAGAAAAAGAAGAAGTTGAAGGAAGAGGAGTAGTAAGAAGAGGAATAAAAAAAGAAAGGCCAAAAAAAAGGAAGAAAAAGGGAGAAAAAAGAGGAAAGAGTTGTAGCTGGTAAAGGAGGAGGGAGTGTACCAGATAAAGGGAAAAGGTGGAGAAAATGTAAAAAAGAAAAGGAAAGAGAAATAGGAAGATGAACAAAAGAATGCTAAAGGCAGAAACTAATACCAATACCTAATACATCATGATTAATACAAAAGACATGTTAAAGATATTACTAATTATATTTTCATAAATATACTGCCAGATATTTATCAAATATCAAAATGAAATAATCATTAATATTACAAATACTGTTAACATCATCAACTATACTTACCAGATAAGAACTATTAGATAAAAAGGAAGGGAGAAGAAAGAACACGAAAAATACTCACCTAAGTTTAATCTGCACCTGTGGAGTGTCTGGTGGTGATGCTGAGCCTTTGGGATAGGCCTCGTATACTCCCGAATCTCCTGCTACAGACTCATCACTCACTGCCGCTGACATTGTCCGAGCATTATTATCCTCAACCCCCACAACACCACCTTCTTCTTCCTCACCCATTTCATATAGCACATCACTATCACCTGTAACACGTCCAAGTAACCCACCACTAACACTAGTATTTGTTTCCGTGAATTCGTACTCGGATAATTCTTTCACTTGCTTATTTCCTACAGAAGTTGTGTCCAATTGTTTTCCAGCCACCTTTGCTAACAGTGGGGTTGCTGGGTTAAAGGTCCCACTCTCCGCAGAAGTGGGAGTAAGACAGAGTTCTGCTAGCCGGTCATGCACTGTACCGAGGTCTACATTGGCCAGGGGACCACTTCCTCCCTCTCCTGGATTGAATCTTGTGGGAGCCAGAGGGTCCAGACCTGATGTAGCATCATAAGCAGAGGTAGGTGGGGACAGAGATGATAAGGAGCTCCTTGGAGAGAGGGAGAGCATGGATTGAGATAATACAGCAGAGTTCCCACTGCTCTCCTCCAAAGACCTCAGTTTTTCAGCATACTGTCGATCAGCCTCTGAATTAGATTTCAACAGTCTTTCAACACGTTTTTGCAGTTCCGGCATATTAAGAGCAACATGTTCACTAGATGAGTATTGCTGACCCCCATAGATGTCTGTAAATGAGAGGCTGGAGAGAGAACCTTTACTGGATGTGGACAGGGATCCTAATGATGACGACGATGACACTGACAAGGTTGAGGCAGATAAAGAGCGTAGCTGTCCTTCAAGACCCACCATGACACGGACAGTATCACGCAACCGACAAAGGAGGTCCTGCCGCTTCTCTTGCAAGGATAGTCGTTCTGCTACTGTTTTGTTACTGACTTCTAAAGCCTTTGCTAAATCACATTCCAGTTGAATGATCTTTTCATCTAGCTCACATGCCTGAAAATAGGTGATATGTCATAATCTGAAGGATGGAATTCAAACTGATAATTAAGTAATAATAAAAATTATAAATAATTATCTCATATAAATACAAAATTATACATATATTCCAAAAACTACTTTACTTTCTTATAAACAAGGTCATTCTCAAATCACTGACCATATGAAAAGCAGAACGTTCAAACAAATAGCATACCTGCAAAGGATCACGTGTGTACGACCTAACACTTCTTAGTTCACGAAGCAACTGTTCCTTCTCCTGTATCAAAACTACACGGTCTCGATCTCCCTGCAAGTCTTCTGGCGATAACCTTTCTTCTAGGCCTGCTAGATCATGCTGCAGCCCCTTCAGTGTACTCTTTGCCGAGTCATACTCTAATTTCAGTCTTGTTAACTCGGCTAATCTTGCTCCTAGTGGCATACCCTGAAAATTAAAAAGAAACTTTGTGAAGGAGGAATACTATATAACTATAAAGGATTTTCAACATCAAAACTAGTGTCGCCTAAATCACCAAGTGAAACCTGTTTGATATCTACCTCTCCGCAGAAATCAGTCTGTGAGCCTGTGCTGTGCTTCTCTGCTGCTGCTGCCTCCATATTAGCTTGTATTGCCTGAGTTGTTTCTGCCGAGATAATGTCTTCTCGTAAAACATTGAGGGATTTTATTAGCTCGGCTTTCTCTTTCTCTCCAGCCCGTAACGACTCTTCTATGTTCTTTAATTCTGCAACAATAACTTGCGCTTGTTCGACACTGTATCCTGTTGTTAGGCCACTTAGTTTCTCTTGAACTCTGAAAGATGTAGAGATAATATTACTATACATTCCTCCATGTAAATAAACAGTAGTTTCACACCAAGAATAAACAAATAAAATATATCATCTCTACACAACATATGCTTATCACCTATGAGGTGTCTGACATCCTATGGTGCATCTGTCTAGAAATATACTCACTGTGCCAGTGTCTGCATGCCAGCCTCTGTGTTTGCTACTTCATGTTTGATCTGGTGAAGTTCCCTCTTCAGGCGACCAACCCGGTTTCTGGCCATCGCTACATCGGCCTTGAGCAAATCTGGGTCACACCTGCCAGCACCACTCCCACTTGAACTTACTGAAAAAGTCAATCCTCAGGTCAGCATGATATATTTTGGTACCATATATGAAATATATATTCCTATGAATCATGATGCTACATGCAATTCAACTGGATATCCTAAAATAATTACTTGAATAAATATATATTTTCAAATAAATTCAGCAGCATCAAACAATTTAGACAACAAACAGTGGGCTGGTGCACTAAAAAATATGGTGAAGAAGGATTTGAAACTGAAAAGCTCAGAAAATAATTGTGGATGATAACTTGGAATTGGAAAAGTCTGAAACAAAAACAATGATGTGTTACAAATAAAGAAACGGGCATCAACAAAACAGCAATACACATCTTTCATTCACTCCTATAATACTGCACATGAATTCCTCTATTAGGTGAATACACCAACTGAAACCTGAATCCCCAAGACATTGTTGATTTTTGTTTCCGTTCTACCCTACAAAGACAAACCAAAGAACAGAACAAAACACATACATGAGGATCTTGAGCTGAACAGGTTGGTGAGAGTGGTGTTGAGGTGTTGATATTCATCCTGAGCTAATGCAAGTCGCTGTGCCTTGACTTGCATTATGTCTTGTTTCGCGCTCAGGTCGTTGCGGGCTGAGCTGAGATACTCTATCAGCATGGCTTCCTGGACCTGCCGCCATGCTAGTCTGGGGTCCTCAATTTGGTTTCGCTCTGTGGTTTGATAAATTGATAAGATTAGGAAGTGAAAAAGTTAATAAAGGACTCAATATAAAGTATGTGCTGTTTCAAATACAGTAAAAATAATACACATATTTGTATATTAATTTCTTTTTCTATCCGGAAATTCAATTAAAACAGGGAAAACAAAGTATAAAAAGGGGAAGAAAAGAGAGACAACAGGTCACAGCAAAAAAACCCTTACTATTAATATGATCGATGTAGTAAATGCCAATCTGGCCATCGTAGCATTCTTCCCATCCATATGGAAGTTCATGGCCTACGCAGTCTGCAAATGTCTGGGCTTTGGTGTAGCTGAAAGAGGAAAAGAAAAACAAATTATTATTATTCATTTCAATAATAATAATAATAATAAAAAAGAAATAAAGAAATAAATAAAATGACAAGTCTAATGATACAATTTGCTTATCAAAATAGATGCTAAATTCTCATTTAAAAGCCAAAATGCACTGTCTCCAGAACACTGGAATTTTAGCCTCATTATGTATTATGGAAGTATTTTACAAATTTATCTAATTACAATACTAATCAACTATAAGCAACCTATTCACTATGATGATAAAGAATATTACTTCACATTTTTCTTTACTCTTTGTTTTTGTGTTAGTGATTAAAATGGAGGTCCTTGCAATGAGTACTAATCATATAAAATCTTAATTGGATTAATAACAAAAAATTATATAGTAGAATTGCATCACATTCAATTTTACTAATCAACAAAAAAATCTGAAAATAAAACAGTTAACCCATTGGTACTGGCTATATTTTCTGTCCACTGTGGTTTGGTTTTATTTGGTTTACACACACATGCTTTTACAAGCCTAAGTCCCAAAGGAGTCATTACAAACATATACCTGATCTTACCACAGTCTTCCCATTCCTTAAATTCTTCCTATTTCTATTGTTACTATTATCAATATATTTACCATATTATTAACCCATTCGCCCCATGTGGCAAGAATACATGCCATGCCCACTGCAATACACGTATATTTATTGTATTTACACATAGATGGCTCCACAAGTTCTTAATCACCAAATAGCCAGTTTATCAGAACTACCTATCTCACCTGTTTACCCTTTTCCTTCACTTTAGCAAAGGGTCTTTTGTATCATTTCATTGTCTAAAATATTTTAATGACAATTTAATAATCATAACATCCTTACATTGATAACAATGGTATCAATAAGAAAAAGACATTTTCCCGCCAATTCAAGGAATGGGAAAATTAGGATTGGTAACTAGGGCCTACTGATAGGCTCCACATGTGCTGAGCACATGTGGAGCCATCTGTATGTAACAAAATTCACCAAAAACTACAGGGGACAGAACATAGATCCGGGGCAAATGGGTTAACAATGATAGTAGAAATATCATTCCAAGAATTCAAGGACTGGCATAAATACAGGTCAGCTATGCCTATTCAATTGATTCCTTTGTGGTTAAAGTTCTTCTTTACCATTTGTGTATAAACCAATATCAGTAAAACAAAACCACATGTGGGCCTACATGCACTCCTGATATCAATGGGCTAATACAAAATAAATAAATAATGAAAGAAACAAAGAAGAAAGAAATGAAATTATGTAATATAACCTCCCATTAACAAAGTAAAAACCAAGGTTAGAAAACATAATGTAATCTCCGATTTCAAAAATTAAACCAAAGATTAACAAACAACAAAATCTAACAAAACACTATGGACGTAGGTGCAAACGATATAGGTGTTAATAATAAAAACAAAAAAGATTTTTGCAATAATAATAACAAATATATATCACAAAAAAGGAAAAAAAATATATATATATATTTCTTATTAACTTCCTTAAACGACTAATCCACTTTCAATTACCACCACCGACAGCAGCAATAATAACAACAGTAAAAAAAAATGACAATAACATAAGATCAAACTACTATTCCTGATCCATAATCAAGAAACAAATATGGATACAAACATACAAACTGTATAACAATATACACATAAATCTGGGTAGGTCTACATCTGCATTGCAAGTCAATATATCATGCCATAATCTGCCACTTGGAGCAAGTGGCACAGAATATCTATTTTACCTCAAAATTCCCTGCATTTGAATATGAAAAATATATTTGCAAAATATCATTTACCTTTTCCTAACTGAATTGGTTATCTATACATTTTGAAAAGTTGTTTTGATAAACTTGTGATATGTTAAACCTACTGATGTGTTAAATGTGTATGTGTGTGTGTGGGGGGGCACTTCAGCAAGCATGGGTGTGTGGGGGTACCTGCATGCCTACAGTATGTGTTCATTTTTGCATGCTTGTTGGTACTTATTTTTCACTAGAACAAAATCCATCATACCTTATCTCAATTAGGCCTACACAAATATACTAGTGTTCCCTAATAATTCCAGAAAGTTGTAGAATACTACATATCAGCCCTAGCCTCCTGCAATACATCAACATAGTAAAACATTTTCTAAACACAACATTATCACTGCAGCATTTCTAATAATTTTTAACGATATCTATAGCACTTGACTTTTATCTATTTTGCTGCTTGATAACATTCCTTGGTCTTCTTAAGTATGAATCATATAGTCTCATGATAAAGAATCTTTTCATTGTCACTAAACATAAAGATAGAAATCACTATGGCACTCTTCTTGTTGTTATCATAGTATTTCACAAGTCTAAGATCATGTTATAAACCACTACATCATTTCCAATTTCACTTCATTCACATGAAATCACTAGTGGACATTGCAATTACTTCTGATCACTACTATTTCAACAGTTCTTAATGTCAAATATATGCAAGGTATTGCTGTTATTTCCAAACACTACCATTATCACATCATACAACCATTCTAAATTATCTGTCAACCACTTCTAGCTAACAATCACTTCCTCTATGATTATTTTTCTGGACATACTTCACCATCAACACTCACATTTATCACATTAATTTCCATTCACTTATTTATCAACTTTCATATAAAACAAAGTTCCATCACAACATGATTCATTACTTCACAATAAAAAAAAGACCAAAGGCAAATGAAGTTCCTCATTCAATTATTCTCATATCACTTTTTTTCAATCAATATATCATGCCATAATCTGCCACTTGGAGCAAGTGGCACAGAATATCTATTTTACCTCAAAATTCCCTGCATTTGAATATGAAAAATATATTTGCAAAATATCATTTACCTTTTCCTAACTGAATTGGTTATCTATACATTTTGAAAAGTTGTTTTGATAAACTTGTGATATGTTAAACCTACTGATGTGTTAAATGTGTATGTGTGTGTGTGGGGGGGCACTTCAGCAAGCATGGGTGTGTGGGGGTACCTGCATGCCTACAGTATGTGTTCATTTTTGCATGCTTGTTGGTACTTATTTTTCATTAGAACAAAATCCATCATACCTTATCTCAATTAGGCCTACACAAATATACTAGTGTTCCCTAATAATTCCAGAAAGTTGTAGAATACTACATATCAGCCCTAGCCTCCTGCAATACATCAACATAGTAAAACATTTTCTAAACACAACATTATCACTGCAGCATTTCTAATAATTTTTAACGATATCTATAGCACTTGACTTTTATCTATTTTGCTGCTTGATAACATTCCTTGGTCTTCTTAAGTATGAATCATATAGTCTCATGATAAAGAATCTTTTCATTGTCACTAAACATAAAGATAGAAATCACTATAGCACTCTTCTTGTTGTTATCATAGTATTTCACAAGTCTAAGATCATGTTATAAACCACTACATCATTTCCAATTTCACTTCATTCACATGAAATCACTAGTGGACATTGCAATTACTTCTGATCACTACTATTTCAACAGTTCTTAATGTCAAATATATGTAAGGTATTGATGTTATTTCCAAACACTACCATTATCACATCATACAACCATTCTAAATTATCTGTCAACCACTTCTAGCTAACAATCACTTCCTCTATGATTATTTTTCTGGACATACTTCACCATCAACACTCACATTTATCACATTAATTTCCATTCACTTATTTATCAACTTTCATATAAAACAAAGTTCCATCACAACATGATTCATTACTTCACAATAAAAAAAAGACCAAAGGCAAATGAAGTTCCTCATTCAATTATTCTCATATCACTTTTTTTCAATCAATATATCATGAAATTATTCTTCCACATCACATTACCTTGACAAATGTAGCACACTTGTAATTTTTTGTTGTCGTTGACAAACAAATGATGCGAAACTCCAATCAATCAACCACTGTTCTCTTGCACTAATCACCACATAGACATACCACTTGTCAAAGCACAGACAAAACTCACTTTCAAAGCACAGACAAAACACAATGTGAATTCAACTACTACAAGCCTCATAAAAATATACAATTTATATTTGACACATTACATCCAATCAAGAACATTTCTTCTTTTACCACGGTGTGTTGCATTTACACTCAAAACAAATACCCAAAACCAAGCCCTTTGTGTGCAGGTTCAAACATTCAAATCCAAATGCCATACTACACACTGGCGTCTTCCACTTGGCGGGGCATTCCTTTGCAGTGCCAAGAGTCTGGGTTTGGTATTTAAGTGACCTAAAATAAGGAAGCCGGTGCGTGGAATGTGGGCACCACAAGCCAAAAATGTACAGAAGATGCTTTGAAGTTTGTTTGTTGAGATATTTAGAATGAGGTATGTCATGTGCACTCTATACTGACTTACTTCAACATCTGCTATCTGCTGCACTTGGCCAACAGCACCTGGGCAGCCCTACAATTTGTGATATTCATACTGATAATCACTAATTTCTGATACATAAATATATATATATATATATATATATATATATATATATATATATATATATATATATATATATATATATATATATATATATA